CACACACACACACACACACACACACACACACACACAATGCACGCACACATGTACACATACACACATATTATACTCACTGTTTACCTGTCATGTTACACGTAATGTGAGATTATTTTTTTAAATTCTTATTAGAAAAAAAATATTCAGACAATGAGCACTAAGATAAAAGTTTTACTTTTCTGGTGTCTAAAGTCATCCTGTCTTACAAAACGTATGACAACATTATACTTGTACAGTTGTTAGTCAAGCTCTATTTTGCTGATAGTGCAAAAAAAAAAAGCATACAGCCTGATATAATGCTACTGATAATACAGTAATAAAAAGCGATGCCCAAAAGTGCAAGTATTATTATTTTTATATGTGTGGCTGCCTTGGCAAACTAGGTGAAAACCGCACTGATCTCGTTGCTGCTTCGGGGGAAAATGCAAGCAGCTGATTTCGTTGGACTGGTAACAATAATGAATTCACGAAGAATATCATTTTACAATATCTGATTTGTAAAGCAATTTTAAGGGCATTATTTCTTGCTTACGAAATAAAAAGTTATAAAAACATTTTGTTTTCAATCTCTTCTACCCTGGGCTTGTTGCTTTTGAAAGTTCGCTTTACCAAAATTTGTGATATTTCGGTTTAAAATTCAGACAATTAATTAATGCGAATGATTCACAAATGCCCATAATTCGGAGAACGATTTTTCCTCAAATCCTTAGTTTTCCAATGCCGCCACGTGTGTATAGTGAAAATATGTATATGCGTTATAATTTTGAAGCAAGAATAGGATGTGCAGTGTGTGCTAGGTGTTTTCGTGGCATGCAAAAAAGGGTTCATTTCTCGACCACTTACCTTGGCAGAACTGGGAAGGGGAGGTGCCCACATTTCCCTTCAAGGCCTCCTGTACTTGCGGCCAGGAGATTACGTTGCCATAGAAACTGTCACAACTGAACCGAAGCTTTTCTATATCCGCGAGGGAGAGAGCGTCGTCCCAGACATTAAGGTGGGTCAGAGAACCCACGAAGGTCTCGCTCGGGCTAAACCCGCCACCTAGCTCATCCTGCTCCTGGCCCACAATCAACGTGCCTTTGCCTGAGAAGAATAGAGAATATTTATTGTTATACCAATACGTTTTTTATTGTCAGTATACATAATATAACATCGGTCACTTAGTCTTCTCGGATAAGGTAAAACAATATTCGAGATCTCATGTACGTGTTACGCATGTTAAAGATCCCTTGGTGGTCGAAAATCGAAGAAAAGTTGACCATTAAACAACGACCGGGGCAAAATTCAAAATTCAAAAATGTCCTACCAAAAAGAATATTATCCTTATCACAATTGCAAATAGTAAGACACATTCCTTGATTCGAAACGTATTGACTATAATATATCTCCTAAGGAGCATATCAAGGAAATCAAAATCTGAAAGGACGAGAGTTGTCTACCGCCCAGGCAAAGCTGAATCCTGCATACCGCTTTAGCCATCATCGAAATCGATGGACAACCGAAAATAAGAAGCAGAAGGTTAAGCGTCCTTTTTAACTCAACTCGTTTGCTTTTTTTTTCCTGCAATAATTCTAGCATTTAGTTCAGTGGGAGAAGCCAACCCACAATATGATAAGACAAAACCTTTAAATGGAATCATCTGGGGAGGAGGAAGTGATGAGGCCGAGATCCACATGGGAACGAGATCTGGGGGAGGATCTGAGCATATGGGCCACAGCTGGCAGGAGATAGTAAAGATCGCCATGAACAGAGACAGGCAGAAAGCCCTTCTTGCCTCAGCTAACCGGATGAAAGAGGCAGATGAAGATGAGTGCATTGCTGAGATGGGCTCAAAAGCCATGCTTTCTGAATGACTTTAAGAACGTTCTATTGAAGGGCTCGGTGGTGGGTGAATCAAATCTCTTGCCAAAGTACAGGCCGTCCATACATATGAGTAGCATTCACAATTCTCTGGTGCATGTGTTGAGGTAAACAGATTGTATGTAACAGATTACATATAGTTCTGGAATATGAACGTGGAATCTCCTGTGTTGGTTGTACTTACTTATGCAACTACCCTGGTGAACAGTATTCTCAGTCCCATAAGACTGTCACTTGTTAGCCCAGTGGATATAAACAGGACAAACGTTTTCAGGGTACAACAAAGGATGATCTTGGGAACTGACAGCTTATTTAGAAAAATCTTCCTCGAACGAAAGTAATATTATACGATCTTTTAAGGGGGGGGGGGGCTACACCTGAAGGTTATCTCGCTTAATAGGGGGTCAAAATTTACCAATTTTTACACATATAACAAGCATAGTAAGGAGTCTTAATTACCGCAATCAAATTTGAGAAAAAAGTTTTGTTTCCCATATTGGAATTTATTGACATGTCTTACACAATGATTACCGCACTTATTTTTCTTGGAAATAGATTGGTTGGTCTGTTGGGGTTTTTTTGCATACATGTTAACGAACATTAGATCTGCAAATTGGTCAGTATAATTTTTTCTAAACGAATTAGAAGATTTTTAATTGATTTTTTCGTGAGATAGTATTCAAGTTTGCAAAACGTCGTGAAAATCCACACTCCAGACACCACCAAGAAAAATTTATTCTATATATCAAAATTTCAATCAACAAATATTTAGTATTACATCTTCTCTTCATTCTGTGAAAGTTTCATGAAAATTGGAAGAAAAATGGTGGAATTATTTTAAAAAGCATAAAGAAAAACCGCATTTTGAGAAAACATAGGCGATAAAGAAAATAAAAAGATTGACTTTAAG